CCGGGCGGGCCGGCGGGGCCTTCCCGGGGCAGCGCGGCCGGGCCTGAGCGGCATCGCCCAGAAAGTGCCCGGCACGGCCGGGACCCCCGGTCGGAACCCCGGTGGGGCCGTTTTCCTGCCCCTTGTAGTTGGGACACTTCCCTCTTCCTCTGCTCCCACTTTGCACCCTCAAACCCCGGTAAAAGTTGGRCCGGGCTCGTTCCCTCCCCCAGCGGGTGAGGCGAGCTCGGGCCTGGGCCGGGGCCGCTCCGGTGGGGCCGTGAGCCCGATCCGCCTCCGCAGCCACCCGCTCCCACCCCATCCCACCCCATCCGGGACGGACCCGCCTGGAACACCTCCTTGGCAAAGGTGGAAGTAGCGTGTGCTGTGCAGGTGTAGCCTTGGAGTATCCTCGGTGTAGCCTCCGGAAGAACGAGTGATGGACGAGGGGAGCAGGGGCTCGGGAATGTCGGGAAAAGTGAATCCGAAAGAGGAGCAGCTCTCAAAAAGCACAAGAAATCGCTCATTTTTCAGCCTGGCAGGTTTTACYAGTAWATTCTGGAAGTGAGAGCTGTGTTTRTGAGGGCTTGGAGTGTCAGGACACAGGGAATGGCTTCCCACTGSCAGAGRGCAGGGATGGATGGGATATTGGGAAGGAATTCCWRGCTGGGAGSGTGGGRAGRSSCTGGSAYRGRWTWSCCAGAGCAGCTGTGGCTGCCCCTGGATCCCTGGCAGTGCCCAAGGCCAGGCTGGACATTGGGGCTGGGAGCAGCCTGGGACAGTGGGAGGTGTCCCTGCCATGGCWGGGGTGGCACTGGATGGGGTTTAATCCCTTCCAAACCATTCCAAGTTTCCATGATTTTCTAGCAGTGAGWAGTAAATTCAGACATACATTCCTGTTCCCCCTTGCACATCGAACTTGTCGGTTCACTCTCAAGCTCGTGCTGATTATTTTGGGAATGAGTTTTGGGGTGTAAAGCTCGATTTTCCAGGCTGGAAAGGAGGAGCCCAATTGTGCAACATGTTCTCCTGGGCCACCGCTGCCTCCTGATTTGCAGGGATTAGAACTTGGGAAACAAACCAAGCTCAGGGAAATTCCGGGTCCTTAACACAGGAGAAGCAAACAACTTCCTCCCACCGCCTTAAAAACGCTAGGAAATGGTGCTGGGAAGCCGAGCCAGCCGAGCGTGAGCCACTGGTAACTCGAGGCGGGGGCACTGCCTGACCTTCCCTGCGCGGGTTGCAAAATCCAGCTGGGAGGCTGGAGCTGGCCGGGTAAACAGGCTGGCAGATGCTGCTGCTTCCCCCGCTGCTGGGAGGGCAGGGGCTGATGTCCCCGCGGTGATATCCCCTGGGTGCCAGCCGGATCTGAGCCCCGGGGCTGGCACTGAGTGCCCTCTCCCTGAGCCTGGGAAAGGAGATGATCCCCAGGGTCTGCCCTTTGTTTTGCAATTCCCAGGCTGGGGAAAACAGCCCCTCCCATTGCTGCCGTGCCCCCGGGGCTTGGTTCTGTCCCAGCTTAGGGAAGARCTGCATTGGTCGGATACCAGGAGACACAGGAAGCCCTCACCAGGCCAGCCGGGGCTTAGGGGCTCTGATCTCGGGATTATCAAACATCTGCTCGTCCTTTGGCCATCCTTGTGTGCCTGCTAGGGATTTCTTGCAGCCCAGACAGGGAATCCAAGGGGATCCCTCCCTTTGGTGGGCGCTGATGTTTCTGGAGCAGGAAGGAGAGGYTTTTCCAGGAGCAGGAAGATCAGGCTGTGTGATGGGGGATCCCCCATCCTGATCCCTGTCCCTGGAGCAGTAGGAAT